CAGTGTGTAATTTGCTGAGCAGCTAATAATGTACAACCCAAGGGTCTGGCCCCAGGGGCAAGGAGCCACTGATCCTGGCTTCAAACAGTGCCCTCTGCAGCAACCCTGATGCTGAGGAGTGATTAAGGGTGGGAACAGAACCAAAAGGCTCCAGCTCTTTCTCCCACACTCAAGAGCAGTGCCACAATGGGTGCAAGGGGTGGACTGGGAGACCTTCCTCGGGGTGGAAATGGCAGCAAGTTGTCTTTTCCAGGCTTTCCTTAAAGGAAAGGGGAGCATTTTCCAGGTGTTAATTTAAGGGACTGGAGGGGCTGTTAGCACTTTGCAGCTGGGAAAAGAAAGTCACTTCTTTCCCTCCCTACAGCCCTGCCAGGGGTGTACAGGTGATCTGACAGCACAGGGTGAATTTCTTGTGCTGATGAATTCTGGCACAAAGGCAAAGTGATCGACCCCAGGGCCATATGGGCTCCACAGTGAAGGGCAAAGGGGAGTTCCAACTCCTCTGCTACAACCAAGGATGGGTTTGCCACCAGCAGTGGGTAGTGCTGATTTATTCAAGGAGGAGGGAGAATATCCGCTTCTCTTGGAAAGGATTTTCCATTGGACTTGGATACAGGCTCTGCTTAGCCCAAAGGGTGTCCTTGAACCCTAGGACAGTGAATATCTCATGCTTTGCCCTCTGGTTCTACTAAAAACAAGGCAGAACTCTGGTGGGCTGGGAAAGGGCTGTGGGTCTCTGCTCAGGGTACCAGAAGGGATGAATCCATCTTTTAACCACCAGAACATGCTGCATCTTTAAAAATGCTTTTGGAACAGCATTGCTGGAGCAATTATTTTTCCCTTCTTGCTTTAAAATCTTCGGCTTTTCCCTTCTTATTTTAAAAACTTTTGGCTTTTAATCATCCCTAAACCCACAATGCCTTGTTTGCACCTAAACAGGTGTACAAAGATACAGATGGGTAGAGTTGTATGAGATAGGCTAAAAATGCAGGGAAAAGGGTTTCTTAGCCCAAAGGTTCTTTTGCTTTTTCCAATTTTAGCACCCAGTCCACAGGAGAAAGAGTCCTTTAGTACAAGCCTTATAACCACATGTCATTCAGAAAAGTTTAGCTAAGAATTAAACTAAACATCCAATTTGGCTGCATGTGTAATGAATAAATAAAGCCTTTTCCTTTCATGTGCCCGTGCCAAAGTCAACAAGCTCTATTAGCTGATGAAACAATGCTGACGCCAAATAAAAATACCCCTGACCCATCAATATGGGCTGAGAGCTCGGCCCTGCATCAAAGAGTGTTGTCAGAACAAGAAATACTGTCTTGACACTTCTGGGGGGAGGAAAAGCTCCCATTCCTGCAGCAAGGTGGGTTCCCTGTGCTCTCATTGGGATGTCAAGGAGCAGCAAAACCATCCCATAATGACCGTCTGTTATGGACACCTCTCTTTGTTTCTGCTGGAATGATTTGGAAACCCCTTGAGCTGCAAGGAGCTGGGCTTTGGTGTTTGCTTGCTCCCCCCTGTGTGTGAGCTCCCCACAAAACCTGAGGAATTTTTTATCCTGTGTGCAAAACGCTGACGCTTGAAAGTCAAACTCCCAAGGGTCCCTGCTCAAAGAAGTGTTTCAGCATCTCAGAGCATCTCAGCACCTGGGAGCAGCCTGCCAGCTGTGCCACCCTCCTCCTCCTCCTGCCCACGAGGGTGGGAAGGTGAAGGAACACGAGATCTCCCCTCTGCCCCATGGGGATCTGCAGCTTGGCTGTTTCCCAGCTGGGCCTGCCCTGCAAACCCCTCTCCTTTGAAATCCACGTTCAGCTGCTCTGTGCCGTGCCCTGCCTGTGATCTTTGAAGTCTCAGCTCTCCCTCGACACCTTTGGTTTAAAAGATCTGTTCCCTATTAGTTTTCAGTCACACTTTCAGTTTCATTCAGGCTTTTATTTACTTATCCATCTTTGTTCCTGCTCCCACCATTCCCCCTGCCCTGCCAGGAGGCAAAGTACAATTCATTTTTCAGGTGACCCTGCCAGGAAGGCATTGCCATGAATAGGAAAAGGTTCAGAAACTGTGGAAAAAGCAAAACCCTTGACTTTAATAAGCAGCAAAACACTTCCCAATCAGAAGGAAGCAGCCAGATGTGACCAGAATTATTATAAAACACAAAGGATGGTCCTCCAAATAATTCCTGCCATCTCCTGAAGCCTCCTCGTGCAGAAGTCTCGTGAGCACTGCTGGAGCTGTGGCAGGGCAGTGTGGGATCCTGTGGTCTGTGCAGCCTGGCAGGGCACACTCGCTGTCTGACAAGGTCCTGACTGTCACCAGGACTCTGCCCCTGGCCTGCCCTGCATGGGGACATGGTGCAGCTCATCCCTGCCTGGCTGCCTTGGTCCTGACTGTCACCAGGACTCTGCCCCTGGCCTGCCCTGCATGGGGACATGGTGCAGCTCATCCCTGCCTGGCTGCCTTGGTCCTGACTGTCACCAGGACTCTGCCCCTGGCCTGCCCTGCACGGGGACATGGTGCAGCTCATCCCTGCCTGGCTGCCTTGAGCACGGAGGGGTGTTTGTGTGTCTTTAGTTTTGATTGCAGCTGTCTGAGCAGGGCAGGAGCCCCGCTGGGCTGCACTTAATTCTGAGTAACGCGAGTTTAACCGCACGGACAGTCCCCTGCTGTTTTGAAAGACACCTAAGAAAGCAATACAGTCACCGTAAGAACTTCTCTGCAGGAAAGCCAGGCTCCTATGAGAACCCACCTGTTACAAGGAAATAATTAAAAACCTGAAGAGAAAGGATAGCAGGACACCAAAAGGCACCTGCGCAGGTTGGCAGCCAGGAGCTGCCCTGGGTTTGTGAGAGCTGCTGCCCTCCCCTCTCCGGGGCTGTAACGATCCGTGGGCAGAGCCATCGATTTCTGCCCAGCACTTCCTTAGTGCAGGGGGAGCAGAACTCGGCTCACATCCTCTGCGGGCTCTGCTCCCTCCCCCTGCACGTCGATAGGTGTCAAGTCACCACCCAGCCCCGGCGATGGAAGGGCCGTTTCTTGCTGAGTCCACTTTCCGCTGACCAGAAGGGGATGCTCAGCAGTAAGTGGCCACGTGGCATTTTCGGTGACAGAGGCAGTGAAAATTTACCTTGATGGCCTCCCAGCCCACACCACTCCAGTCCAAAGGACGGGCTGGAGCCTGGATCTCTCCTGCTGCCACCCTCTGCTCTGTGCACTGGCTGCTGGGTGGGCTCCTTGCCCACCTCAGCCTGGCTGCTCCTCCTCTGCTTCGTTTTTATAACTCTTTAGTCCTCTGGAGAGAACAGCACTGGTGTGAGATGGGGAGAAAAGGCCATGAATACAGTGGTATGTCACAAACCCGTCCCCAAAAACATCTAAAAAATACCTTGCAGTTTATTTTTCCTGTTCTTAGCTTGATTCTTCACCAGGGAATTGCTCAGGGACAGTGCTGTGAGTGCTGGTTTCTGTTTTGGGAGGCGAGAGCCGGGCCAGGCTGGGGTGAGGCAGGGACAGGGAGGCAAATCCATGTTTTGCATTTGTGTAGCTCTCATTCACGGCTGTACACGGTGTTTGCAAGTGTTACAGCACATGGCAGGCGTACGCTACAAGGAAATACTGCCGGTGCCCAGAATAGAAAGATTTCAGCTCAGTATTGACTGAATCAAGAGATGCAGGGAGCTGATTGCAGTTTGTGTCTTTTGCTTCCTTGGAGGTCAGTGGAGCTGGAGTCTGGAGCATCCTTAACCAGAGAGGGTTTGCAAAGAGCTGCAGTGAGTGCAGTGGGAAGCAATCTGGTGTTGTCCTTTTAATCCTCCTGCAGTCAGTCAGATAAATGGAAATACAGACTGACCCATCAATAGTTAACAGTTTTATTTGCAACCTTGGACTTAATCTTTCTTTTCAAACGATCTTTTAAAAGGAAAAGCTGCTACTTATCTGGAATTAGTGGGAATGTCTTCCCTGGTACTAATGAGAGCCCTTAGGCTGGAGGGAACTGGGTAACTACTGGCAGCATGTTCTGATGATCATAAATGTTTGGCACCCCTTGGAGTCACAGGAACATTTTTCTCTTGGATTTTCAAGAGGTGCCCTCACTGGCTGGGTCCAGGGTGGCAAACTGAGGCATGGGGTAGCACTGGCAATAGAAAATGGGACTCCCTGCACTGATTTAGAGGGAGAACTCCCCTCCTCATTATAATAAAAGAATAATATACTCTTTTAGAAGACACTCCTTGTGCAGTGGAAACCCTGCCAGCATGGCCTGGCTTGGTGTCTGTCCCTTAAATGTGTGCCTGGACCACTCCTGGGGGACCTTTGGGAGGGGGCATTACTGTTTTGCTCTTTGCTTTGACCCCTGAACTCTTTAACAATGTAAAGCCTTGTGAATTATAAATCAAATGTTCCTGCTGAGCTTTGTGGTGCACGGAATGAAATGCAATGATTAATATTTAAGAGAAAATAAGTTAAAGATATTAACTACAAGGGCAAATGTCTATCCACAGAGCCTTTTCAGAAGAGAGGGAGAACCACATTTTCAGGAGCTTTAGTGAAGTTTGTGGCTGTCAGACCAACCCCCAGAGCTGAGGGTGTGCAGGAGCCAAACTCCCCTGCCCTGCCCTTCATGCTGCCTCAAACTAAGCCCACCTGCCCACATCCTATAAAATCCCAGCAGTGCTGGAGCAGCCCTTTGGGATGGGGCTGGAGAGCACACCCCACACTTTAGCAAGTAGAGGAGCAGCTCAGGCCGTGTGCTTTTCCAAAATCCAGACCTCACCCAGGACTTGCTCAGCCCTCCCTGGCTCCTCCTCACCCTCCCTCCAGCATGCCAGCCCCATCCCTGCTGGGCAGGGTGCCCTGTCCCTGCTCTGCACACTGACAGCTCCAGGCAGCGCCCACCATGGCCACCCTGACCCAGGACATCCTCCCGGTGGCACCTGGGCTGGACACTGCCTCCAGCCACCAGCAGAGCCTGTTCTAAGCCAGGAAATAAGGCAGCAAACACTTACATGGGTGCAGAACCTCTCCGGAGGGTCCCCACAAGTGATTCCTGCCGGGTCCACCCGCACGGTCACGTAATCCTTCATCCGCATGGCCTTGGGCTGGCACGCATAAAACTCCCATGAGGGGCCATCGTCCGTGGTCACCCAGGACTTGCAAATGTCATACTGTCCCATGGCCAGGGGCACGCAGTGCACGAGGAGAGCGGCCAGGTAGAGCATGGCAGCTGCGGCCGGGCGCGGGGGCCCTGGGCGAGGGCAGTGCCGGGAGTCCCGAGGAAGGCGGCGGCTGGGCTAGGGGTGGCTCTCGGGATCAGCATGGAAACTCCTCATCTAAAAATGCTCCACTGGAAGGAGATCCGGACAGGAACAGGGATGAGCCCACTCTGCACGCTGGATCTGGACGTGGAAAGTTCCTCTTGGCACGGAAGCCAACTTTGTAATTCACTTGATTGGGAAAGTTTTGGCCAGAGTTGCTGATCAGTGGTCAAAAGTCTTCCTTAACCTCATTTTTTCCCCCTTTTATTGTACGAAAGGTCTTCCAAATCAGCATGAAAATATCTAGAGGTGACTCCAGTCAATCAATACAAAGATCAAGTTCTGAGTTGCTGATGAAATTTGATAGGAGTAAATTGGAGAGGCCGTGAGATGGTGCTGGATCAGGTTTTCCTCAACCTTCTGGTCTGCTCCAACTGCGTCGCTGTGGAAAGTGCCTTAAACTGTGTCTGCCTTAATTACTGGGGTGTTAGAACATTTAGCACATAAAATAAATAGAGCATCTGGCCATCAGTACAACTCTGACAAGAGAGAATGCTTGGAGCTTGGAGCTGAAATTCCTGTTTCCCAAAGGATGGTTGTGTCAGCGTGAGCAGGTCGGTGCCCAGACCCGTGGTGGTCCCAGCAGCTGCTGGGTGGTCACTGGGGTGACTGGGGCAGGGCTGGCTTTGGCTTCTCCTGCTGTGTCCTGTGGTGGTGGTGAGGATTCCTGTCCAATTCTGCCTTTTGGCAACGGAGCACCAAGTTCCCAAAGCCTTCAGCTGCAATCCATGGGGCTACCTGGGATCTCCTCTCTCTTTCATGGTCAGGGCAAAGGCAGAGCTCATCAGCAGGAGGGACCTGCTAGAAATTGGAGGACAGATTAGGTGGGAGCAAGGAGGGACAGTTGGAGCACGAAGAACAGGGGTCCCTCAGGAGGCAGAGCTCTCAGCTGGGCTTGCCAAGCCACCAGACAGGTTTTTGTAACAGGGAGATATACAACTTTAATAAAAAGCAATCCATAGTAAGATGCTTATGGCTTTTCTGCTGTCTGGGAGAAGGGAAGGAGCGCTGCCCAATTTAAGGTATCTGCTTTGCAACAGCAGCTGGACAACAGGAGCCCTAATGGGTCTTCAAATAACATCAAGAAGCAGCTATGGGTCATTAGGAGATGGGGAATATGCAGACAGAGAAGGGACAGACAGACAAATTGATAGTCCTAAAAAGATAAGCAAATAAATAAGACAGCTGGGGAGACAGATACATTGTCCAGCATCCCCACATATGATTTATCTGAACAATAACATTTAATAAAAAACAATTTAAAGTCCTAATAACATTTAGGTTCACCTAATACAAAGAGCAATGACCTTCCCAGTATTCATTTCAGGTTAGAACAACATTTCTGCAATTTTGTTGTCTTTCCAGTAGAGCTATAAAAATTGAAAGTAATTACAAAACAAAATGACAAAGAACCGAAGCGGGGAGGGGGAAAAAGTCAAACCCTCTCTCAATATTAGATTCAGGAGGGAGATCTCATCCAAGAAGGTGGGAGGCACATATCCAGAACAGAAATTTACCTTTGGATAATTCCCTTTCTATTTCTTTCCCCAACTTTTCTTCCACAATTGAGGCATATGTGCTTCAACAGCATGCTTAGCATTTCCTTTCTCATGAAGCTCAGTTACTAAAGCTCAGAAACTCCAGGTTAACAGATGCATTGATCCGTGTTCAGGGGCTTCACACCGCTCTGCTACCATCTCCCTTTCCCCCCTTTTTGCTTGAAAGATTGCTGATTGAGATGAATGAGTTCAGAAAAGAGAAGCTGTCTCTCATGCTTCACTGCCAGCTCTCTACGAAGAGCCTGTTATAGCTGCGTTGGACCTGAATAAACTCCCAGAAAAAGAATAGACTGGCTGCTATTTTTATATTATGAGTAAATGTAGTAAAAATAATAAGCCAGTGTGACACAGTGTTTATAAGTCCTACTTACATCAGAGCTGTCTTTTCAGTTATAACAAGTCAGTTCCTAATTATTACATCAAACTGGTCACTGCCAAGTGCCTGATAAGAGTGAGAGTGAGAGACTCTGGTATTGTGTAGAAAACAAGCAGGGTAGTTTTAATGAGGACTCTGGTGCTGTTAAGTTTATGGATCTATTTTCACAGCCTCAACAATTATATCTTGCACTTGAATGGCTGTCAGGGAAAAACCCAGGTAGAAAGGATCTATAATATCTATTAGTGTCTTGTTATGCTGGCTAAATGTCACAGATTCCCAGGGAAGTGAAAATTTACTGGAAAAAATGTATTTACTGTCAGTTCATCAGCCAGGCAAGCGGGTTTGGGGTGAAGTCTGTGGCTCAACACCCACTTAGCCAGTCCAGTCTTTTTGCAGAAATAGTTGGAGTGTTGCTCTGGAATGAGCCAACATACTGCAAACGGGGCAGAGAGGCTCCCCAAATTAAAGGTTTCACCCTGCTTGATTCGGTTTAGTTCTTAGAAAATAAATCTTCACCTGATATTATTAAGAAACTGCAGTTCATGGGAACAAATAGAATCAATGCTCTTTGTTCTCTTTGAAGAGTACTCAGCGCTCACTGGGGACTGATAGCCGGAGTATTAAAAACACAAAATTAGATTGTGTCTTGACTTAGCTGGCTCCGGGTTTTTTTCTTATTATTGGATTAACACCCTATTGAAATAAAGGGACAACGCTGAGCAACAACTTAGCTGCTCTCGGATTAAGAGCAGAAAGTAAACTCAATGAAGGAGTTTTTAATTTTCTCTCAGAAGTGTTGCTCTCCCCATGAACTCTCCGCTCTCCCCCCGCGCTCAGGGAGCGGGAGTTGTTCTCCTCTTTCCCTCGCTGCCCATCCCTTCCCCGCACCCTGGACAGCGGAACTGGGGACCCGGCGGGGGGACGGGAGCCCGAACCCCGCGACAGCGCTGCGCGGCTCCCAGCAGAAAACCTGGAAACCCCACTCGCATCCCGCCGCTCTCCCTGATGGATTCGCGGTTCCCGGCAAAACCCGATGCCGCTCCCGCTCCGCCCCATCCTCCCCGGTTTCTTTCACCCTAAAGGAGTTTGGGGGGGCTGCACGGAGCGGGGAGGGGATCGGCGGGGCAGGGGGAGCCGGCGCCCCGGGCTGGGGGAGCCCCCCGGCTTCCCAAACTCCGGAGAGGGAAAATCAACCCCATCCCGCGGCGGGGAGACGGGGATGCTCCGGGGAGGGGGACAGGGAGCGGGACACCCCAGCACAGCGTGGGAACAACTCGTGGGGACGCGCAGCGTTCGGGGCTGGGGCAGATGCGGCGCTGCCCGCCCCCCCCTCCGCCCCCGCTTTCCCCCCATGCCCGGCGCTGCGGGTCCTTACCGGGAGGGAGCTCTGCGGCGCGGGGCTCCCGGCGGAGCAGCGAACTTCGGGGCCGGGGGAACCCCCAAAGCACACCCCCAGCCCTGCCCTGCCCTGCCCAGCCCTGCCCTGCCCTGCCCTGCCCTGCCCTGCCCAGCGCGGCGGGCAGCGCTGCGCCGCCGGCCCCCAAGGGCAGATGGCCGGGGGAGCTTTGTGCAATCCCGGCTCCCCTCGCAAGTTAATGCCGAGGCTGAAATCCCTTTTGCTCTCACTTTCAATCACAATCGGAGCTTTTATCTCCGTGCCTGATCCCGGCTGCGTAACTTCCTCTGTGCAGCTTTAGCACACACCATCCCACCGGCGGCAATGGGCTTCTTAAAGGTGCAGGAGGAAATGCAGGGGGGGGGAGGAGGAGGAGGGAGGGAAAACCACCCGAGGAAGAGGAGGCTGCGAGCGGGAGCCTTCAGCCCCGGCGGCCCCGCGGCTCCCGGTGCAGCATCCGCGCCGTCCCGCTGCCCCCGGCTGGATAACGGCAGCCGGGAATGCCGCTCCTCGGGGCTTCTCGTTTTATTTTTTTTTTCCTTTAAGAGCTTAAAAAAAAAAAAAAATTAAAATCATGAGCTCATGTTTGCTCGAGAGAGAGGAAAAAAAAAAATCCCCAGTCACGAGGGTTTCCCCACACGTGTAAGTCCTCGCTTGGTGTGCCCTGAATATTTTGGGGAGGCTTCTGCTGGTGAGGATGCTGTAAATGAGGCTGCGTGCGTGTGTGTTGGGGGAAGAGGGGGTGGTTGGAATTAATAGGATAAACAAAGCAGGAACTCGGAGATGGGGAAATCAGATGGCTGGGAAATGCTTGATACTGGTGGGGATGTGCTGTGAGATTTAACCGAACCAGGTTTTGCTTTGGGAAGGTGGGAGACTGTAAGGTGTGACAGCACCTTCCAGCACGGGGCTGGAGAAGCAGCTGGGGTTGCTTAGGTCAACTCTGCTGTGTTGAGGAGCAGAGGAGGGTAGCAGAGGAGGCTCCAGCTGTGGATAAGGTGGATAAAACTGTGGCAGGTAAAGGTCCAAGTTTTCCCTGCACCAGGCAGCTGCTGAAGACAGAACTCCTGAGCAGCGACAGGTTTTTGACATGTGGATAAATGACAGTTCATGGAAAAACGACAGTTCGTTTATGGGGAGGAAATCCAAAGAATCACCACTGCCTCCTATGTATACAACCACCCAAAAATGACTGCTCCTTCCTAACCAAGAATTCAGTGATTTCTAAGCCAGAAAATGCATTGTCCATCGCACACGTGGTTTGAACCTCATGCACTCAGTGTTTTGCTATATGGTTTCCTTTGACCCATTGCCCTGAGGTCTCTGGGTGGCCTCTCCCATTTAAGAGTCCCTGGAAAACCCACGATTCATCCTGCAACCAGACAGAGGTGATTTAGAGCTGTTCTGGGAAACGTTTCCCATATTCTGGAGTGTAAGTGAGATTTATGAAATGCTGGCATTGTGTCTTGACTGTGGCCCAGCCTAAACACAACACTGATGCACAGGGTGGTCTTTACCTGCAAGGATGTCTTTAATTCTGGCTCAATTTCCACTCCAGGACACGGTCTGATACTTTCCACATGGTAACTTCTTCTGTAAACACTTATTTTACAGCAGCAGTATAGCTCAAGTGAGAAGCACTGGCTGG